GATAACAATGTCTGCGTCGTCAAAATCCATCGTCGACGTCAACAGATTGAGCGTCTCACCGGTGGTCTGACATACCGCCGTTGGTCTGCGAAAATCACGATATTTCTTGAAGCTCGGGGTCTCGACTATGTCATTCACGAAGACCCTACTAAGTTCCAGGTAACATCTGATAAAACGCTGGAGAAATCTGCCCAGCTTGGTTCGCAAGTTACTGTTGTGGATGCTTCAACTGATCCAAAGGCATCTGCAGCGTCAGCCAGCGACCCGCCCTAAGAAACTATCGTGAAATATGATCGCGATAACAAGAATGCGAGAGCGGCAATACTGCAACGCATAACGAACGCCCTCTTCAACATCTTTTCCAAACAGAGGTCTGTCAAGACTATTTGGGACACGCTACAACAGAAGTATGGGACTGAAGACGCTGGAAGGAGAAAATATGCCATTGGGCGCTTTCTAAATTTTAAGATCATTGATGCGTCATCCATAGTTGAACAAGTACATGAATACAGGAACCTGGCAGCTGACATGATGGCGGAAGGCACCAAGGTAAATGCCACTTTCTTGGCTGATACATTAATTGAAAAATTGCCCGAGTCCTGGTCTGACTTCAAGAAAAAGATGAAGCACGAAAGGAAGCATCACACAATGCAGGAGGTGGTGAACAGTCTGAACATTGAAGAAGAGAATCGGGTGATGAACGAGCATGTCATTACTAGTAATGCAAAAGCTAACGCAGTAGAAACAGGTGCTAATTTTGACAAAGCAAAGGTTGGTGGCCAAAACAGGAACAACAAGAGAAATCCCAAGCACAGTAATAACAACAATCGCATCAAGAGTGGTAAGATCCAAAAGAAAGGGAAAAACAACGCATGTTTTGTTTGTGGGAAAAATGGTCACCGGGGAGCCCAGTACTATCATCGGAAAGGTGGTGTAAGTCAAATGCAGGCAATGAAGGGCCCAAGAATCAAGCCAACCTAACAGAGAAAATGGACAATGAAGTGATTGCAACCGTGATAACTGGAGTGAACACGGTGGAAAACCCAGATGAGTGGGTGGTAGACATTGGGGCTTCCCGCCACTTCTGCAACGACAAAAGCATGTTGAGGGTGTTCGAGCATGTTTCTGAAGGAGAACAAGTCTTCATGGGAAACTCAAGCGTCTCCCAGGTAAGTGGTAGAGGAATAGTAGATCTCATGTTATATTTAGGGAAACAGATATTGTTGAAAAATGTGTTATATGTCCATCCCTTCCCTATGTAGAAACTTAATCTCTGAAGCCTTGTTGAATAAGGCTGGGATTAAGATGATGTTTGAGTCTGATCGTTTGGTCATGACTCGCTATGGAAAATTCCTTGGGAAGGGATATCTACGTGGTGGCTTATTTGTGCTAGACATAACTGTAATTAGACCTGAACCCCCTGTTACTGAGGGCCCTAGTCGTCGTCCAACTATTCATGACTTTGTTCGAAACTGGTATGGTCTAGACCCACTTAATAAGAATGATGTTTCCTCTTCTTTTTATATAGTTGTCTCCATTAGTGTTTGGCATGGTAGACTATGTCATGTTTGTTTAAATTGTTTAAACAGACTGAAAAATATGTGTTTATTGCTAAACTTATCGAATGAGTCATATTCTCAATGTGAAACGTGTGCTGAAGCTAAATTTTCTATAAAAAATCTTTTTCCTCTGTAAATCATCGCACCTCGTCTGTGTTAGAACTTATTCACTCAGACTTAGCAGATTTCAAAAGTACTGAATGTAGAGGTGGAAAACGCTATTACATTACGTTTATTGATGATTTCTCTCGTTTCACACAAATATATCTTTTGAGAACAAAAGACGAAGCCGAACAAAAAATTTTTGTTTTCAAATCAGAAGTAGAAAATCAGTTAGAGAAAAACATTAAAAGGCTTTGTTCTGATAAAAGGATGAGAATATAAGTCAAACTTTCTCAAAAGCTTGTGTGAGTCTTCTGATATTATTCATGAAGTAACTGCTCCTTATAAACCCCAACAAAATGGCATAGCTGAAAGGAAAAACCACACACTCAAAGAGATAACTAACGCTATGTTAATCAGTGCGGGTGCGCCAGACTCCTTGTGTGGAGAAGTTGTGCTAACAGCGAACCACATACTTAACAGAGTGCCTCATAAAGGGTTTGAAAAAATCCCATATGAGTTGTGGAAAGGGAATGGCCCTAACCTCAAATACTTTAAGCTGTGGGGGTGTCTGGCAAAGGTGGGACTCCCATCTTTCAAAAGGCCCAACATAGGGCCCAAAACCTTAGATGCCATATTTGTTGGCTATGTTGAGAATAGTGCCGCTTATAGATTTCTATGTTAGAAAGTCGATCAATATGTAAATCTAGAGATGATATCTTCTTTGAACATATCTTTCATTTAAAGTCTTCTCAAGGTCATCAAGTGATAGTGTTCAAAGGATTGAACATGCACTAGATCCCGCAGCTAGTGTTGAATACAATCTTGATGAACTGAGAAGAAGTAAAAGACCGAGAACAAAGAAAACTTTTGGTTCTGACTTCATAACCTACTTGACTGAACTGGAAGATGTAAATGAATTGTGTGACCAATTCATCTGTCAGTTAGTGTTAGAAGAAGAACCAAAAACCTTTGCAGATGTTATGCACTTTGTTGATTCCACGTTGTGGAAAGAAGCAATCAAGAGTGAACTAGACTCCATACAGTCTAATCACACGTGGGAATTGGTGAACCTACCTAAAGGATGTAAACCAATCGGCTACAAATGGATCTTCAAAAGGAAGTTAAGATCAGATGGGTCTATAGAAAGATTCAAGGCCAGGCTTGTACCCAAAGGCTACACTTAGAGATTTGGTGAAGATTATTTTTATACATATTCACCTGTAACAAAAATCTCAACTGTCCGTGTGCAACACCCCTAATTTTTAAAACATTTAAAGCTTATGAAATAAAGGCAAATTTATCATTAATCATCCAAACAAAGCGGAACTAACAACATAAGTATCGGGGTGCTATGCCACATCTAGGTTTGAGAACCTAGATGCACAGGCTAGACTAACTAAACAAGGCATAAACTATAATTAATATCCACAATACAATTCAAGGCTCACAAGCCATCTAACTAATGCTAAGCTAAATCCACGAGTCCATCTAACGTGCTCCGAAGCTTACAAGTCAGCACCTGAAAAACATATGGTATAACAACCATCAGCGAATAATGCTGGTAACCCACTCCTACGCGTTAAGTACAATATAGGTAGATATAAGAAAATCATTTTGAGACTGGAATACATATATAATCCTAAACAAACTCTAGCTTTAAAACCATGATCAAGACTCAAGACACAACAACAGGTTTAGCATTACGAATCATCATAAAGATACTAGCATGCGTCATAACTCGCAAGATAAGATAACCACAAAGCTCAGCAATAACTAACAATAACAACAACAAGGCACAACGACAAGCAAAGGCAACAACAACAATAGTATCACAATCCAGCCTTATACCAAGTTCCAACTTTTACTCTTCTCCATCCTATTTAGTGGATTGTTGAAGTCGAAGAGCCATGCATCCAGAAGTCCAATGAAATCCCTTCAATGGAGAGCTAACTCTTATGCAGTTCGCTTCACAGACGCAGTTCTATGTTGTTCCCACAATTGAGTGATCTTAGCGTACAATGTTAAGCACAGTCGATTCTTCTCAAGTTCATCTTCGAAATCACCATGAACTTTTGGTCTTGAGAAGAGACATAGAAACCAGAGATGTGTATCTTTTAATATTGAGAGTTGCGCCTTCAATTAATTCAACCCTAACTTTTGAAAGTATATATTTATATATACTTCTTGACTTGGCTTCTCTCCGTATATAACTCTGGTTGGAATAGGTAAGACTTGTGTAGCAAATCAATCTTGATTCTTTAAGGAGATTTCGTCCATACCTAAAGAGATGATTCACTGATATTCTTTCCAGAATAGTCACCATATATACGCGTTTGCCAGCTTATAGAAACTTTCCTTTAACAGATCTTTGACGGCTTGATCCAGAGACGCTTCTGTTGACTTTACTGATCAATCAGTCTTCTTAAGTCTTCAAAGACGGTCAGACACCAAACTAAACCCTATCTTAATTTGCCATAATAATATTTCCAATTATATGTTGGATTTTTCTCAAAAATAAAACACTAACATATTATTTCGTAAACCATGATTCATAGTGTAAGATGAACAGCTGGTATATATGTTCATTTTTAATATATTAAATGTTCATTTTTAATATATTAAATGTTCATTTTTAGTGTAGTATATGTTCATTTTTAATATATTACTTAAAAATAAAGTATAGTACATTTAAAAATGAATTTTATGTAGTTCGTCGAGGGAATTTGACTACAAAAATTATTCTCAAATTTCAATTACGGTTAATCACAATGTAAGACATGTGACACTCACACTTTTCTTAAAATCAATTTACTTTTTTCAGATGGTGCTAGAAGCGTTGAAGTATCAATTTTTCAATATACAATATATTCTAACGGATACATTTGAGCACTCAAATATATCATTTTCAATAAATTTGAACAAATGAACATTTTGAAATTTTTATACGAAAGTGTTTGGCATATGTTGGAGAGCAGTCACATATATAATTTTTGAGGGACTAGTAGATATTTTTATGCCCATATTAGACTCAAACTAATCAACGTTAACACCAACCTGACTCGCTTAAGGGATAAAGTGATGTCCATGTTGATTTTTTTCATACGAGAGAATACTTGAACTCTTAATCTCTTTTAAAAGATGATATTATGAGTGTACAATCACTCACGCTAATCAAGTTTGTTATAGTAATTTGTCTTTTATCCCTGAAATGGGTACTTTAACGTTGGGGTATGAGTGAAGTTATAGGCCCAAAAGTAATTGTGAAATGGGCTTAGAGCTGAAGAACACTGAATCATCCAAAATCCAAGCCCTTTATCTCTGCGCGATTAGGGCATCATTCACTTCACTTCAAATACTCATCTGAGCTTCTCTTCTCTTCTCCTTCTCCTTCTCCCACGTTTAGCCATATTCTTCAGCCCTGCAGCAGAGCATCTTATTTCCGCTAACCAATCACCATGGGGTACTATGCATTTTCTTGAATACCTTCTTCACATATATTGGGTTTCAATATGTTTTTTCGATATGTAAATGTATAAATGTTTGTATATTCACCCCATATTTGGGATGTTCTTCGGCAATCTTTTATGCTATGTTTTGTTGATCTGAAAGTTCTTCATAATATAATCAACATTAGTGTATGCATTAATGCTGAGTAACATATTCTTCATCTCTGTGGAAATGAAGCATAAGCTTATAATGCTTTCACAAAAGTTTGGAACTTTAAACTTTTTTTTTTTTTTTTTTTTTTTGGGTGTTTTGCTGGATGTCGTTAACATATTTGAATGCTCTTTCATTCAAAGACATCAAAGTATCATCTGCATTGTTAGATTTAGCACTGTTAGAATAATATAATATAAGCATAGCATATTTTTTGTATTTCATTTTTTGTTTTATGAGTGTTTAGATATAGACATATAGTCCATCTTGGCAAAGCCGAGGAGCCCTTCTATTGGCAATGATCAGCTTTGAATGCTAATGGACTTAAATCAAATGTCACTCCTAACTGTTCTGGGCTGCTTAATCTCAGTGGAGTTTCAGATCAGTGGAGATGAAACATATTGGAATAGTTTATATTGCTCTCCTTTGTAGTGCCCTTTTAAGTGGAATCCTGGACTGCATATGTGGTAAATTACTTGCATGTTGTATCATTTGAAGCACATGAAAGCGTATCAGCTAATGTGTTAGTATAGTATCTGCACATCATATTTTATGAAATTTGTTTGTTTATTTGGTAAGGGATTTTGATACATCAGTCCATCTTGGCAAAGCCGATGAGCCAATCAAATGGCAATGATCAGCTTTGAATGCTAATGGACTTAAATCAAATTGTCTCCTAACTGTTCTGCGCTAACCAAGTTCAGTGGAGTTGCAGATCAGTGGAGATGAAACATACGAGTATATAATATATATTATTCTCCTTTACAGTGCCCCTCTTAAGCAAGAACCTAGGTTGCCTTTGTGATTGGTCAATGTGGGTCACTATCAGATTGATGTAAAATTTAAATGCATGAAGATATCAGCTTACATGTTAAAAAATGTAGACTGCCAAGTGTAATATCTGGATAGCATAAATTATTTGAATGGTGTGTCATTTTGAACACATGAAAGTATCGGCTACAATGTTATGTTTTGGACTATTTGTGTATAACATATACATAGCTATATTTTACTTATTTTGTTTGTTTATTTGTTGAGTGATTTGATACATCAGTCCATCTTGGCAAAGCCGATGAGCCATTATATTGACAATGATCAGCTTTGAATGCTAATGGACTTAAATGAAATGCCTCTCCTAATTGTTCTGGGCTAACCAAGCTCATGGAGTTACAGATCAGTGGAGATGAAACATATGGCTCTATAATTACTCTCCTATATATTGCCCCTCTTAAGCAAAATCTGGGTTGCGTTTGTGATTTTGTTCAATGTGGTATAGTATCTGATTGATGTAATATTTTAAATGCACGAAAAAAATCTGGGGTGTTTAGTTAGTCTGTTTATTGTTTTTTTACTTTGATCATTTTTGTTAAAACATAGGAAGACACGTGGAATGGGAGCTGGTCGCAAGCTGAAGTCCCATCGTATAAAACAACGCTGGGCTGACAAGTCTTATAAAAAATCCCATCTAGGTAATGAATGGAAAAAACCATTTGCAGGGTCTTCCCATGCTAAAGGGATTGTTCTTGAAAAAATGTAAGTGGTATGTTAGTGCCATTACTTTTTCGTTGTGACTCACTTGAATAAGTAACATGCTTTTCTGATTGTGAGTTTTGCCTTTGGTTATTTTTGTTCTTTTGCAGTGGTATTGAGGCTAAGCAGCCAAACTCTGCCATTAGAAAATGTGCCCGTGTACAACTGATTAAGAATGGGAAGAAAATTGCTGCCTTTGTGCCAAACGATGGGTGTTTGAATTATATTGAGGAGAATGTGAGTACAATATGCTTTACCTTTTCATTCGGTGTTTATTAGTCAATATTCTAAACATGTAGAATCTGGTTCTTTTGCAGGACGAGGTCTTGATTGCGGGATTTGGTCGGAAAGGCCATGCTGTCGGTGATATTCCCGGTGTTAGGTTCAAGGTTGTGAAGGTTTCCGGCGTGTCTCTTCTAGCTCTATTCAAGGAGAAGAAGGAGAAGCCAAGATCTTGAGCAACCTTGGAGCTGTTTTGGATCAAAATGACCATTTCTGTCCCTACATTCCCATTTTCCAAAATATCTAAGTATAGGTTTTTGCAATGTCTGAGATTTCACTTGCTCTTCTGTTTCATCCTAGCAAACCAAACTTATGTTAACAAAAGGAGAAGTTTCTTTCTCTATTCTTAGCTTGTGTTTTTTGATGAATCCTAAGCCACAATTTGGTTGATGTACATATGTATTTAGTATGAAAAAAGAGGAAGTAATATGACACATAATGGCTTCATTGTTTCTTGTACGGTAAAATGAAAATTGACTTTAGTACACTAAACACTAACTTACACACCTTTCAAAAAAACACGAACTTGGCAAAGTCACTAAAGCGGGTGTTAACTACCTCGAGCTTTCAAAATGGAAAAAAAATATTTATTAAAAGAAAAAGAAAACAAGTTTCTTCTTGATTACTTGCTGTGGGCATAAGAAATTGCCCAAGTTTGAAAACCAATAAAAAAAAAAAACAAAAAGGAATATGAACACCTGCTTTATTTTGAATTGTTTATACTAAAAAAAAAATGGGCAAAGGAGAGATGGAATCTCTTCTTGGAAACATAAAATTGGAAGGAATATTCTTGGAAACATATATGAAGTGGAGTTGGCATGCACCATTTTCTCCTGGGAACAAAATCACTGCCATCAAAACATCACTCTCTAGCCTCTACTTTTCTTGAGAGTTGAGAATGACTTTCTCCACACACATTCAAACATATGCCATACTGCATATATCTTCCATTCAGAGACTAATCTTTTGCCTAGTTTATGAGAAGTGCAAATATGGGTATAATACCAGGATTGTGACAGGTTCATATTGGATTTTTTTTTTTTTTTTTTGGGGTGGGGTATTTTCCTAGTAATGGATCATGTTTTATGTTTGGAAATGATACATATACTTTCCGGAGTAAAACTCTCGTCACATGTTATGATTTTGTTGATAGAAGGAACAGAGATGAATAAAAATTGTGGACAAATCGTAACCATAGAAAATAAATGATCAATGTATCAATGTATATGATTACAAGTTAACACCCTAAATTTATGGACTAATAAACAACTCAAATCACCCATAAATATCAATTAAGGGGCAAATATATCCAAGCAAAATTTCAAAAATTTCAACATTATATTCCATCAAAATAGGTAAGACATCGACAAAAAATGAGTTTCTATGTTATTGAACCGTTTCATTTAAATAATAAATTATTGTTATTATTATTAAATATGAGAAAATCTAATTGTTTTGTTAATGTCTCGTTTTTTAATTTAGTGGGACAAACACATGAAACATAGAACTGCAAAAAAGGGTGTTATGCTATGCTTTGGGCGATTGTCTAAACTCATGCACAACATCTCGTTGAATGCCGTCGGAATCATGTGCACAATTCTATATTGCATTGTACACACTCTAATATTGCATTATTAGTAGCCTAAGTAGTCATGGTTTCAAAAGATGAGATCAGATCTGTGGGCAAGGATACATGATCGAGCCCTAGTAGTCGTGGTATGGAAGTTACACTCAATGTGGTAGGCTCCTTGAGGGCACTAGGTGTTGGAAAACATTCAAAAGAATTGAAAAAAGGATTCTTTGCTTCAGTTGTTGTCCCACGTTGTTTTTGGAGCGCCTAGTAACTTCTTCGATATTGTTTCGTCACAAAATCTAACACCAGGCACTGGTACTCTTACCGGCCAGTCCTACCTAATGGACCGCTAGGTCACCGTAATTTATACTTACTATCTGTCATGTTGAGCTAAGGTGTGAGGTCCTAGGAACACGAGAATTTCGTCTTTTGTGAGCAAAAAATAGATCTGTCAAAGTGGCCTTAAATTACGCAATATATGTTCCTTGTGCAAATCGCATCACTTCTAGGGAAGGTTACTATTATATCACATTTGAGATTAGTAATTTTGCACACCAAAATCTCACTTTAGATCTGGGGTTGCATATTCAATCTCTTCAGAATAAATCAATAAGACCACATGGTACAATTCATAGGAGTTGACAAATTAAAGAATGGAGAAAAGCCCATACGAGCCTGCGCCGCAAGTTAATTAAAGTCTGTAGAGAATATTTGTCAATCGGAATTTCATCTCAGAGCTTCCATATTCCCATATCAAATTGTGTCCGAGTGATGTAAAGTAGCTGGAGCATAATTCTTATACGAGAAATTTATGAGTTCAATTTTGGTCGACATTTTTTCAACCGAATTTATCAAAGTCTTTCTAACGTTGTTTACTCCACAAAAATGAAATTTATTTTAATGTACTCTCGAATAGTGACTATATGTTTCCCTTATTACTAAAAAAAATTGATGAATATGTAGATTTGATATATTCATTAAACCAAACAAATTAAAAACCCAAAGGTCCAAAACCAAATCAAATCAACCCAATATTTCAGATTTGAACTGATTCACTTTAAGCCAATTCAATTTACATATTCCCTAATACCTAAATTCCCCCATTGCTCTCTCACTTTGCTTTATTTTAATTTATTTTATTTATTTATTCAAGGAAAACCTATTGTTATTACATAATGATGTGCATTAAGTAAATTTTGTTCTTGTGTAATAACTCGCAAGTCACACAAGAAAAATAAATCATACTAGAAAACTCATGCAATAGACTTAATCAAAAGAATATTGATAAGAGGAATCAAACTCGTGATCTTTAGATAGTAAAATTATAATTCACTCACTTCACTGCTCTTTCGGGGCTTTGCATTTTGATTGTTAATTTCTTAATTGGGAGGAGAAGTCCTTTGCATATGTGGCTTAAAAAATTGCTGTCAATTTGTCCTAAAGCAGACTTCTCACAGCCAATATAATGTTACTGATAAAAAAAGATGAAAATGATATATTATATCTTCATATATATATATATATATATATATATATATATATATATATATAGTAGTCTAAGTACAATAATAAAATAATAATCAAATTCCACGCCCAAATCTCATGTCGGATTTGATTAGGGATGTGTTGAAAAATCTATTGAGGAATTGCTGTACATGCTAAGGTCCATCAACGCTCTTTGTCATTTAACTATTCCACCATAATATCTTTACTTTAATCAATTTATTTAATTAAATATTCATAGGATCTACCTAAAAATAAGAAACAATCATGAATGAATATCTTCAATTTTATCTACCCATTTTATACTTCAAATTTGCGATTAATATAAAAGGATTACACCCCAATCTCGAAATCTCACTTTTCCTACCTAAAAATTTAATGAAAGACACTAATTATGAATTGTGTCTTAATTGACCTAGATGTTCTCAAATGCTTATACCCTAATTTCCACCATAAAATCAATTCAATACCCTTTTTTTTTTCTTTTTCTTTTTTTTTTTAAAAAATAATAATAATAATAATAATTGGTCCTGGTCAGGAATTGAAAATTTGTGGCCAATATGAATTCATAAAACTTTGTCATGCCTTTACTAATTTGAAATTTTCTCTATTTTTAACCCAGTGACTTTAGTAACAATTTGTCTTGCATTTACTAATTTGAAAGATTCTCTATTTTAAGTTCAGTAACTTGATATTAATATAACTGCAAGATTAGAAACTTAACATTTTCTAAACAAGCAAAGTAGCAAACAAATTCCACATGCCAATAGATGTAAGAGTTTTTTTTTTTTTTTTGTTTTTTTTTGGCCCGCATGGGCAGCTGAATTCATAGCAAGGCTGAAATTTGTCATAAGAGATTAAAGAGTCTAGTCTATATTGATCAATTGACTCACTATGACTTATCCCTCCTTAATCCGGTTGGGTCGGGATATGAGAGACTTGAATAAATGTGTTAGAGCAGAATGAGATTGAATCTAAAATCTTATAACAAAAAGAAAAAAAATTCTTGATAAATCAAGAGGCATTCTACATTTTAGTGTTGGATGTAATTACTATGATTTGTAAATAAAAACATTCCAAATGTCATTGCATTTAATATGGGATTTTTTTTAAAAAAAAAATGAAGAACAAAAAAAGTGTTGAGGTCAAAATATGAAAATTTCATTAGTTTGTTAATCAGTAGAGGAGAACAAGCTAAGCCTAGCTACATAAACACAGTACAGTCCAAATTTAAGAGGGGAGAAAAAGAAGAAATAAGAAGAGATGAGAAAGGATTCAGGTGGTGAACTTCAAATCTCTTGATACAAAAAAAAAAAAACCCAGAAAAGAGAGCATTAAATTAATTAAGCTTTGAAAGCCTGAAGATGATATCTAATGAAGTAAAAATTGTATGAAAAGATTTGGTGATGAGAGAGAGAGATCTATCACAGCAGATTCATTTCTTTCTAGTTTCTACTTATCAATAATCTACATGAGAGGGCTATTGAGAAGTCCATGCCAAGAAGAAGAAGATGACCCAAACCCATACCCATACCCATACCAATTCTGCTTGCTTGAATCAATCTGATCACCCATGTTATTATTTGCTTGATCTCCTCCCATTTGCTGCCATGGAAATGACCACAAAACCCTGTTGCTGATCTCGCCTTCTTCTCTCGCACTGCCCATCTCTTGCTTCACTGCGCCGCCGCCGAGGTGGTGTTCCTCGTACGGAAGAATCCCCATTTCGCCATTCTCCACGTTGATGTTCCCGTAGGAGTACAGGTTATGGAACGATGCGTTCGCCGCCGGCGTTTCAAGAAACCCGCCGTGGTGGTGGTGGTTTCCGAGGATGTCATAAGGGGTATTATTGGGATTACACATTATACCACCCATCTCATGTTCCCCTCCTACCCCTAGGTTGGCTTGCTTTTGTAGCCTAGCCAATGCCAGGCTAAGATCGCTAGCCTCGTAAGGCAAGCCCGCCAGGGATGGCAACGGGACGGGACTGGAACACAAGGACTGGTCCTGGCTCCGGCTCCTCGACGAAGCCGAGGACGATGACCGCTTGTTCTTCCGGCAGCCGCCCCCGACCGGCACGTTGCGGAGGGTCCCACCTTTGGTCCAATACCTGCGGCATGACTTGCAGAAGTACCTAGGCTGGGACAGGCTATAGTTGTTGTAATAGCAAAACTTTGTGTTGGTGGATTCACACCTTGGGCATTTTAGTGCTTGCTCATCAGCTGGCCTTGGCTTCTTCTCTTGCCCTTGCTGTGCTTTTGTGCACCCCAACATGCTTTCTAGTGTTTGTGATGACATTTCCTATAACCCCAAAAAAACAAAACAAAAAATTAACCAAATCAATCATGTTACAACATCAACAACAACCTAAGTTATTACAAGGTTTCGATTCAGATTCAAGATATAACCTATTGTCAACTAAAAAGTAAAAACCTAGACAGTACTAAAACGAACCAAAATTTTCAATCTTGTAATGACATTTCCTATAACCCAAAAAAATTAACCAAATCAATCACGCTACAACACCAACAACAATTTCACGTTAATGACAAGAATTCAATTCGTGTTTGAGATATAACTTAAATCTCACCATCTTAGTACTGGGAAGCACTAAAATGAAGTAAGATTTCAATCTTTAATTTTACCCATAGTAAAAAATGATGGAGATATATAGAGGTTGTTATATATATGTACCTGTGCACTAGAAGGATCCATCCATGCACCAATTCTGGTTGTGAAGAGTTAAACTTCTGGGGATGGAAAGGGAGACAGAGGGAGTCGGAGAAGTTAAGGTTTTGATTGGATGAATGGAAATAAGGGTGAGCTTAAGAGGCTAAAACAAACAAAACAAACTGGGGGTGAAGGTGGAGAGGGTGTGTGTGACAAACGCATCCCAGACATATATAGACAGAGAGACACAGGGAGAGAGAGAGAGAGTATAATAATTGGTGAAGAAGTGTACGGGGATGCGTGTATTGTGGGTAGAGAGAGGGAGAGAGAGAGAGAGAGAGAGATAATGATAATCTCTCTCGCTGGAATTTTCTAAATTAAAACGGATTCATTCATCATCAGCTGCAGTGCTGATGATGATCGAGGCTATGTCCTGGTTGTGGGGCCCCGCGGCGTGGGAGTGCAACTATACCCCTGGGCCCACTACTCATTCCTGTGGCCCCCACTGCACCCCAGTTTCTACCTGTTTTCATACGAATATCATATTATATAATTAATTTCTCAAGTAAATCTATCTCTTATTACATGACTTTATTTTATTAACAGAATCATGTGGTGTGATTTCAACTTTTCAAAATCAAATTAAATTCTCACTTGGTGATTTTATTAATAAAAGATAATGTAGAAATAAAGATAATGATCCACTGTTTTTTTATTACATGAATCTTAACATGTTATGTAAGTATGAAATAAAAAAGAGTCTGCATGGGTAGCTTAATTGGTCGTAGGGGTAAAGTTTAAAAGTAATGACCTGAAATTGAGTCATATTAGCGGCAGTGTGGAAACAACCTCTCAAAGTGAGGGGATCCTTGTGCACAGTAAGTAAATGTCTAATCTCTGTGTTACCATAATTTACATCCTCTCAGATACTCTCAGGTCGGGACGTGGGGGCTCTTGGGGGTTGGGAAGAATCAAATAAAAAAGGAGATTACTCTATTTTATAGATCTAGCCGAACAACATTCATAAGTGTGAACAACTTGAACGAATTTATTATTACCCCTTAAATTATGTATGTAATATAATTAGTGTTGTAATTTGTGAGTTTATTTAATATTTGGTAAATGTTAAATATTCCTTGTTAAAATTGAGAATGAATTTATATATATACATTTTTGATAACTTAAATTTTTCGTTTTTACTGTACTAAACCAAACTAATCTAGGTTCAAAATTCAATACCAAATTATATATTCCTGAAAAGTAATCTCTCTGTCCAATTTTATTTCTCATATTTATTTATAAATTTAATTTTTTATTTAATAGTATTTTTAGTGTAGTTTCTAAATATATAAATTATGTATATTAATACTAAACTTAATATTATAAAAAAATTGAATTAAAAATAACTATCAGTCGATGCTCGTTAATTGAACTAGACACATACAATGGGACGGACGGAGGGAGTATTAGATAACGGGTAATGAAAAATATTAGATTACATATGTAATAGTGTGGTAACTTGTGAGTGTATTTAATATTCGATAAAAGTTAAATTATACTTTGTTTGAAATATTGGTAAAGCGTACAGTACAACTTCATTCACCATTTTTCAACTGTTTTGTCCTCTTCCAGGAATATATGTTCTTAATATCCGAAATCATTCTTTACCTCAGATGTATTCTGTAATAAATACGAGAAACTTCAATTCCTAGGAAAAACAGAGAATTTATTTTATATTTTTTCTATCAAAATAAATTGATTCTTTAATTTCTTGAAGATATCCTTACATATTTTATTGCAATCATGCCCTTAATTTTTAACAAAATTTCAACAAACGCATATATTACACTTTCAAGAAATAACTCTTTTAAAGTTCAATTATCGTTCTGCTAAATTTGTCCCCCAAAAAAATAGTTAAAATAAAGAAATTAAAAAAAAAATTATTAAAGAAAAAAAAAACTTTTTTAAAAAAATTAAGACTTAATTAAGCTTAATAAGGAAAATTGTTGTGATTATATGTCATTTGTAGACAAGAGCTTGTGGTCTAATGGCACCAAGGTTGCACAGGTTGTGAGTTTGAGCTTAATAGATACTACATTGTAATAGAAAAAAATAAGGGCCCCCCACATCTACAATTTAAGTTCTACAACGTAACACACGTTGATTTTTGGACAATTTGACATTAATTTAAGTTCTATAACGCACGTCGATTATGGGCAACTGTAATATAATTTAAGTTCTGTAACGCCCGCATACTGATCGATTTTGGATAACCAAGGACTATAATTAAAGTTTTGCAACGCACATTAGTTTTGGACAACTGGATTAAAATTTAAGTTTTATGACGCACATTGATTTTTGACAACTGACCTATAATTTACGTTTTGCAATACACGTTAATTTTGAACAATCAAACTATAATTTAAGTTCTGCGGCGAATATTGATTTTGGACAACTAGTCGATAATTGAAGTTACACAACATACATTGATTATAGATGATTGGACTATAATTTTAGTCTATGACGCACATTAGTTTTAGACAATAGTACTATAATTTAAGTTTTGCAACACACGTTAATTTTGGACAATCAAACTAGACTATAATTTAAATTCTGTAGCGCACATTGATTTTGGATAACTAGTTTATAATTTATGTTATACAACAACTAACACACAGTGATTATTGATAATCGGACTATAATTTCAGTTCTGTAACGCACATTGATTTTGAATAATTGGACTATAATTTACGTTTCACAACGCACGTTAATATTGGACAGTTGGACTATAATTTAAATTTTGTGGCACATATTAAATTTGGACAACTGGTCTATAATTGAAGTTACGCAATGTAAATTGATTATGCGCAACCATATCAACTATAATTTAAGTTCTACAACGTAACTCACGTTGATTTTTGGACAACCTAACATTAATTTAAGTTCTATAACGCATGTTGATTATGGGCAACTATAATATAATTTAAGTTTTGTAACGCCCGCATACTGATCGATTTTGGATAACCGAGGACTATAATTAAAGTTTTGCAACCACGTTTGTTTTGGACAACTGGATTATAATTTAAGTTCTATGGCGCACATTATATTGATTTTTGACAACTGGCGTATAATTTAAGTTTTGCCATACACGTTAATTTTGGACAATCAGACTATAATTTAAGTTCTGCGACGCATGTTGATTTTGGACAACTAGTCGATAATTTAAGTTACACAACATACATTGATTATAGGTTGGTTAATTCTGGACATGCAGCTAGACTGCAACTTAAGTTATGCAACGTACACTAGCGTAGTTTTTAATAACCAAGCTATAATTTAAGTTATGCAACACACATTAATTTTGGACAATAGAAACTATAACTTTTGGAGAATCCTTCGAACAACGTACATTAGATCACTCTTAACGGATGATTATATTTCTATTGGTGTAACTTGATCACACTTCCTCTCTAGTATCAAAGTACATAAATAGTGTAGCACAAAAACTAGGGAGATTATTTTGAGTGGCTAAAAATGTGAAGGCATAGTGACATGGACACATGATGATCATGAACAAGGAGTTGGTCAGGGGATTGAACTTTAATTCACAACTCAGATAAGATGAGCTGAGCAGTATCACCAAACCCCAATACCAACACCATTGTCCATTGTCATGTTATGTTGCTTTCCAGTGTGGAAATTGGTCCTCCATGCTCCCCCGGCCCCTACGACCAGTCCCAATCACCCAACCATACCCTTCACTTCCATCACTCTCATATCTGCATATCCCTAAATATTAGCGGCATCAACTCTCATCAACACACAACCAACATTAATTTAGATCAAAGCTAGATATATACCGGCAAATTACTATATTAAACGGGTTTCATTTCAAGACGTGTTTGGTTACTTGCAGGTAGTAGTGTTAAACGAGTATGAGATAGCTAGGTACCGGCCGGTATGGCGGTATCATTATATAAGGTTCAGGATGGGCTCAAGTAGTTCTATAGCTAATCGTGTTTAAGTTTAAAAAACTTAAGTTTAACAAGCAAGTATTCTACATGTTGTCATCCCTAGTTCTAGTACCAAAATGAATAATATATTTTGTCTCAACTAAAAGACTAAATTGATTATTAATTAGATCACAGCTTATATCTTATATGTTATATGTTAAACAAAGTAATTCTATAGCTAATCGAGTTTGCGTTTGGTTAAAGCTTAACAGACGAGTATTCTACTCGTTGCCCATTCCTTTCCCATTTTTTGAACCAGTGTCTTCTAGATTATAACAAATAAAAATAAAATTTCCAATATACATATATATTCTCTGTTAGTAATAATATAATTCCTATATAACATATAGTTTATATTTGTGTGGTTATAGATTAAGTCTTTATTCTAGTCTATAGTCTACGAGAGTTAGGTGGTAGCTTTCTTATAGGACTTATCTTTGTAATCTCTCTGTATCTTATTAGATTTTGAATTCTGTTATCTCATCTGGTATCAGAGCGATAGGTTGTTTCTTGTTAATTTTTTCCCGATGTCGACAAACTCTTCCGAGTGTACGATCACCACCACCACCGTTCCCGCTCCGGCGAACACCAACTCTCTCAGCTTATAGGGCATCCTCAATAGTGAGGTTTTTTGGATTGGTTTTTAAGGTGTCAAATAGGAGAGAAGAGAGAAGAAAATGTGAGAAAAACAAAAAAACAGGCCTGAAAAAAAAAAAATTGTATTTACGTGCTTGCCATGTGACGTGCACGCGCCCGGTTGGGTGCCTTTTGTGCGCCTCACGCGAGAATGAGGCTGCCTCTCTCTCTCTTTTGGTGGGATCCACATTTCTGAAAAAACTTGGATTTTTGTCGGGAGACCCAACTCCTCCCTCTCTTCCATGTGACTAAAAAACCTACAAAAATCAAGAAAAAATCACCTATTGTGGATGCATATACCCTAACACACCAACGAGTTCACCGTAGTGATTATACACCACTACTTGTCACCATCATGTATTTTTCTTATTATATATTTTATGAACTTATTTGTCAATTTCATTATTTACACACAAAGGTTAGTCCGAGGGAGTGACACATGTTGAGTGAGCACTTGGTATCTGTCTGGCTGATGAATTATGCTTCAAGGAAAGAACATATACACAATTCCTACGTACACCTCATCCACTTTCTCCAATAATTCAATTCATTCATACCAAAACCTCTGCGAATCCCAGGTTGACACCTAAGCTAAGGTTGTTTTCCATCTGTACATCAATTTCTGCCACCAGATATCATTGGACATCTGTTCTGAATTGGACTACTG